TAAAAAAAAAAAAACACAAAAACCATCCTGTTTAGTGATAGGTTAAAATACAGAATAAGTCTAAAAGGTAGGTATTCACAGTCAGTAAACAGTTGGCCTCCAGAAGCAAAGAAAAACTTGGGGGAAAACCCCTCCTATTTGAACCCATCCATTTTTTTTTTTTTTTCTAAAGAGAGATTTTTAATTTTTAAAAATTTATTGGGCCAGGGAGATGGCTCAGTAGGATAAGCGCTTGACTGGCAAACGCAAGGATCTGAGTTCAATCCCCGGTTCCACAAAAATAAATAAATAAAAAATAAAAATTTATTTATTTGGTATAGGGACTTGCCACAAGCTCAGACTTGTAGTGATCCTTCTGTCTCAACCTCCCCAACGCTGGGATTGTGGGAGTGTACCATCACAACCCATTTTCAGTGGCTTGTACTGTGTGTTTGGGGTTCCGGGCCTGGCAGGGCGTGTGGTACTGGGAATTGAACCTGGGTCCTTGCACTTGTCAGGCAGGCACTTAAGACTGTTGAGCTGTCTCCAGCCCCTGATCCATCCATGTTTCTGGCCGCCGCTTCCTCCTCACCTACAGGGAAGATTGTAAGTCCAGGTCTCCCTCCTCACACTACTAAGAACAAGGTAGAAAGCAGTGGACTCTGATTGGCATATCACTGTTAGTTCAGCACTGAGCCTTACTACTAGTATGGCATCTTCATGTCCTACTCTTACCAGTCTCCTTCTAAAGGCATGAATTTTTCCTGATGGATGCTTTTTGATAGCTAGCTGAACAGTCCCTGACCTCCGTTTAGTGTGTTTAGTGTGCCCCACCTGTCAGGTGAGATAGTCCACTTTGTTCAGCTTCAGTATTGCCCAGTCAGTGAAAGATTATATCTTAGAAACAGTAGGCATTGGGGCCGGGGAGATGGCTCAGTAGACTTAAGGGCTTGCCTGGCAAGCACAAGGACCTGAGTTCAATCCCCAGTTCCACCAAAAAAAAAAAAAAAAAAAAAAAAAGGCATTGAACGAAAAGAGCTGTCAGTCAAGACCCCTGAATTGTCCCTTTGCAGTGGGGATTGGTCTGGAGCCAGGTACCTGAGTGCCCCTGCTTGTCCTCATGTTTGACAGCTGCAGCTTGCACCACATCTGTTTACCTAATCTACCACTCACTGGAAAGCTATTCAAGTCCATTAAATTTCTGATACTTACAAAACATCTGCCTATGCCAAGCATGACTAGAGGCCACAAGAAGAATGAAACCTTTTTTGTTTCAAGGCTCTAGAACAGCAAACTAATATCAGAGAGACACATTGACAGTGAACCCAAATACGGATGTGTGCTATGAGGAAAAAAAAATCTTTTTCTCAAAGTCTAAGTCAAGACTTAGAAAATGCAGATGGGACTGGGGAAATGGCTCAGTAGAATAAGCGCTTCCCTGGCCAGCACAAGGACGTGAGTTCAATCCTCAGTTCCACCAAAAAAGAAAAAAGAATATGCAGATGTAATTTCCTAAATATTACTGTATACATTTCCATCAGTTTTCAGGAATACACTTTCAGTTCCTACTTTATTTAAATATTTATTGTGCCTTAGTTCATTGGCAGTTTTTGAAACAGTATTTTTGAATGTTGTAGCTATGCCTGCTTTCTGCTTAAAGCAGGCCTGTCACGTTGGATACAGAAGAGATGGAAGTGCTCCCTCTGTTCATGGTTGTAGTTATTTGCATCCAGGATTCTTTGGATCTCTCATGGTATCCTTGGGGTCCACAGAACTAGTTGTTTTCATCTGCCAAGTGAAGTGGAGGACCTGAGATTTTGCTTCTCATAATTTTGCTTGCCAGATTGCCAGATACTTTTTGATGTCTTGTGAGTCTTCAACAAAGATTAGTGGAGCCTTGACATTGAGTTGGGACAGTGGTACATCTTCTTGGGAGAGGCCATTGTGTGTTACAGTTCCAACCTCCTCATCATAGTAAAAGTGCTCCCTCTGGTATTGCCTCTTGGTAAGTGGATGTCAGCCTTGGTAAATGGTTGCACTGCTAATAATGTCAGTTGAAGCAACTGGTGTCCTCTGGTCTTTCAACTTTTAAGTCACCAAGCACCGGTCTGCAGTAGGTCTCTCATTGTAAAAGTAAGGGTTTGTGTTGTTGTTTCAAAAAAATTTATGCTGTCATTGTAGTAGATTTCTAACAGTGGTATGTAATCCACTGTATGTAACAATTACATATCCAGCTGAATTAAACTAGTGTGGGGGCCCAGGGAGATGGCTCAGTAGAAAAGGCCTGAGTTCAATCCCTGGTTCCACAAAAAAAAAAAAAAAGAAAGAAAGAAAGAAAAAGATTGTTACCAGCAGCATAAAAGCAGAACAGGGACGGGGAAATAGCTCAGTGGAATAAGCACTTGCCTGGCAAGCGAAAGGACCTGAGTTCAATCCCTGGTTCCACCAAAAAAAAGAAAAGAAAAGAAAAGCAGAACAGGAGAAGCTGCTGACATGCTGTCAGGGATGCTGCTTGGAGAAGCTGTTGGAAGCTGTGAATTTTCTTGGGCTGTTCTGCTGGAGGACCTTGTCATGCTGGCTTTCCTGATGAACTTTGGAGAAGCTTGGGGTCCTCACCTTGAGCATCGATTTTTGGCTTTGGAGGGGAAGATGGTGTACTGCTTGGCCTCATGAAGCTTGTCTCATTGGCTTACCTGATGTGAACTCGGCTTTCCTCATCACTGGAGGATCTGGGGACCTCACTGTTGCTGAGGATGTCTGTCGTACTTTTCAGGGGGAGATCTGATTGTGCTTCCTAGCTTCAGTCCAGATCCCTCAACCTGCTAGCACAGATCTTTCATCCTGCTGGCATAGACTTTCTTTTTTTTTTTTTTTTTTTTATTTATTACATTTATTTATTGTGTGTGTGTGTGTGTGGCCAGCTCAGCCCACCAGGGGGCGGGCTGGCTGGCATGTGGTGCTGGAGGATCGAACCGAGGTCCCTGTGCTTTTTGCCAAGCTTGTTTCAAGTAGGTGCTTTAGACCACTGAGCCATCTCTCCAGCCCCTGGCATAGACTTTCTAGTTTCCACCATTGACCTTTGGGCCAGTGCAGATCCATGAAGTGGACCTGCATGAGACTTTGTTGTGGGCTCTAGGCCTCTAGTTGGACTGGTGGGAGGCACTGTTAGGAGCTCTAGGCCTTCAGCTGGATTCTTTAGTATTTAGTGTGTGGATAGATTTCCTGTACTTGTAGTATGTGATTCTCAGGTGATTCATTATAAAATTCTATTACAAAATGTGTCTTACACTATATTGTTCACCCTGCAAAACCCCAAACCATGACACTCACATTCAGGAATATCTGCTTGGTTGAGATAGTTGTAACAGATTTATTACCCTTGATAGCTCTTCGTGCAGATTTCTGGGAGGGAATTTTACCTTCCCTGAGGTCACTCTATGGTGCTCCTATGATTCTTCTTCAGATGGGCAGCAGTTAAAAAAAAAAACAACAAAAACTGGTGCAGGATGATCAGGGTGCGTTGTCTGAAGTATGCTGCAAGACAAGTGTGTTTGTACCTTGTGGCCTGCAGTCCAGCCAGTGCTTTGGTGAGGTTCCTGTGTGACCACACCTGAGCAAATGAAAGGTACGTGTTAGCACTAGAGTGAGGGGAACCTGGTTCAGATCGGTTCCCCAGGAAAAAGTAGGTTGCTGAGTTTTCATCACATTTTCACTGAAAGAGGTCCATGAGTTTCTTTTTCCGAGGATTCCACGGCAGTCTTCATATTTATTCTTTGCTGTTCTGGGACATACAGTTCCTGTCTGTCCATCCCACCCCCCCACCCCCCCCAATCTAGGGATTGAATTCAGGCCCTTGCGTTTGCCAGGGAAGTGCTTATTCCACTGAGCCATCTCCCCCTCCTCCCCTGTAGTTCTTGTTAAACGAATGGTTGAAGTTCATCTCCCTCATGGCTTTCATTTATCCACTTGTCCTTCATGATCTGGTCTGGAATGTCATGTGTCTTTGGGTTTTTGATAAAGAATCACTTCAGAAACCATTTTCAGTCTGGATAAGTAGAAAGGGATTCTGTATTTCCCTGTAAATGCTTTATCTTTCTCTCTCTCTCTCTTTTTTTTTTTTTTTCAGAAATCCGGGGATTGAACTCAGACCCTTGTGCTTGCCAGGCAAGAGCTTATTCTGCTGAGCCATCTCCCCAGCCCCTGCTTTCTCTCACTTGCTTCAGATTTCTTGTGTCATAGGGTTGTGACCCACTGACTAGTACAAAATCACAGATTGATTTCTGGCTCCTCATGCTCCTTTCCTTGCCCAGGATCTCTGAGGCTGCAGGATTTAAACAGTGTGTCCAGTTTCTTAACGGTGAATTCAGTGCTGTATCCAAAATCTGCCATTTTGATGTTCATATCCTCATCTAATAGCATTCTCTTGGTGTTCAGGGGTCTTGCTTACTTATTGTGGCAGTATTTTATTGCAGGTAGGATTGCTCTAAAATTAGTTTGTGCTGGCCAGCAAGATAGCTCAGTGGTCTAAAGTGCCTGCTTAGGCAGCTGCTCAGGGACCACAGTTCGATCCCTAGCACCACATGCTGTGCCAGCCCTGCCCACCTGTTGGCTGAGCAGGCTACCAAAAAAAAAAATCTTTTTTTTTTCCCATCCATTTTTTGCTGGGTAATCAAATAGTTGACACATATTGCCACCTTTTGAATTACTAAATATACTTTATCAATTTTGATGACTTCAGACAAGTATACTATAGTTCGATGATTTAAAGTCTTCATTAGTTTTTTTCTTTGTACAGCTTCTGAAGTCTTAATATACTCATTGGGGTTTTGTTGATTATTCTCACAGAAACCTCAGCACTGTAGTGACATATCTGGCTGATTTGTCTTTTGCATAGTTCTGCTCATGAAGTGTTCTCAACAGTATGTATTTTCCTAGTTGAATTTCTTTTTTGGGGGTGGAACTGGGGATTGAACTCAGGCCCTTGCACTTGCCAGGCAAGCACTTATTCTACTGAGCTATCTCCCTGGCAACCACTGATTTTTCTAAGCTCCCTATTCCACAGTGTCTTCTTGTAGTCTGTCTATGAGAGGGGTGAAACATATTTGTCAGTTTTCTGATCATTATCTTTGATGTCTAGTTGGTAGTCTTCTTGGGATGTTTTAAGAGATAAGCATCTAAATCTCCACTTTTGGGCTGGAGAGATGGCTCAGTGGTCTAAAGCACCTACTTGGAACAAGCTTGGCAAAGCACAGGGACCGTGGTTTGATCCCCCAGCACCACATGCCAGCCAGCCCCGCCCCCTGGTGGCATGAACTAGCCACACACACACACACACACACACACACACACAAAATAAATGTAAATAAAAAAAAAAGATTTAAAAAAAAAATAAAATAAATCTCCACCCCCCCGCCCCCCGAACTGGGGATTGAACTCAGGCCCTTGCGCTTGCCAGGCAAGCACTTATTCTACTGAGCTATCTCCCCAGCCCCCTAACTCTCTTAAGTAGCAAGATAAATATCTAATATTAAAAATAATATCCTTTGCTGTCACTGGCAGGATTAGGATGGGGAAGGGCTGGGGGAAGGGTAGGGAATTGGATGGAAGGCAAAGAATGAGAAGACATGTAGCCTTTTTGTTGGACTTGTGTATACATATTCATATATTTTGCATAAATAGTGTCAAAAATGTATATATATCAGGAAAAGAAAAACTTGCACACATTTTAGTACTAAATTTATCTAGACTTTATAAGATAAATTCAAGTTACCATTGGCCTCTACAAATTACAAGAGGTAATCAAAGTGTTGGCCATTAGCTTCCAGACACTTATCATTTTTTCTTTTCTTTCTTTTTTATTTTTGGCGGAACCTGGGATTGAACTCAGGCCCTTGCACTTGCCAAGGAAGTGCTTATTCCACTGAACCATCTCCCCGGCCCCCCTTCATTTTTTTTCCTGGCACTTTTTTTTGGCACACTCTTTATTTAAAGAAGCATTCATTTCTGTTCCACTGCTTATTTTTATTACAAATAAAAAATACTAGAAAGTTTTCTTTTTGACATGTGTGGTTAAATGAGTAGGTTTAAGTTGCCTTTGAAATGGAACAGTCATTGTAATAAAACGTGGCAATCTTACAGAAGAACTTTTATATGCATATGGAAGATGGCATTTCATATTCTGAAACATGTTGCTCCATATTGCTTGTTAAAGAGAATGGCATTTCCTGTGGATTTGTTGGATAATTGCAGTCATGAGGAATTGGAAAATTCTGCTGAAGAGTACATGTCAGATTTAAGATGTGGGGACCCTGAAAATCCAGAACGTTTTCCTCTTCCCAGTGTTACGGTAAGGCGTTGTGTTTTGGTATTTTTCAAGGTTTTGAGTCCACCTTGTATATGTAACTGACCATTATTTATTTAAAAAATTATTTCATGGGCTGGGGAGATAGCTCAGCAGTCTAAGTGCCTGCTTGGCAAGTTCAGGGGCCCAAGTTTGATCCCTGGTACCTACCACATGCTGTGCTGGCCCTTGAAACCCCAGGTGTGCTGTGCCTGCCCCGAAACTGGGCATGGTGGTGCCATGCCTGCAATCCCAGCGCTGCGGAGGCTGAGACAGGAGGATCACTACAAGTCCAAGCTACATAGTGAGACCCTATATCCAGTAGATTTAGGGAAAAAAAATTTTTTTCATAGTGTTTCTGGAAATCTGCCCAGTAAAATGTGTTAATATGAGCAATTTCTAAATTGGCAAAATCTATAGATTATTGCTTAATGTTTGTCTTTTTGTCCTTGAAGTTATGTTTAAGTAGCTAACTGTATTGGAATTAACTTACTTTAGAGTTGGAATATGTAAGTTTAGAAATTTCTTTTTAGTTAGAAAAATGAGCCAAACACTAAATTAATTAGATTGTGGCATTAATCTTTATTTTCTTTTTTGAAAATAGTAAAGAATCAAAATTTCTAGTCAGCAACCCATGATGCACTGTGATAGTGAGATCATTAATTACAGTTGGAATGTTTACACTTCCACAGTGTCCTGAGCTGGACAGATTCCTTTGCTCTACAGTCCTCGGATGTTTTCTTCTGGAAATGGCATTGATCTAGAACATTTGTAAAGTCTTCTCAAGCACCTGTATCTTACAGTATTTGACTTACAGTATTGACTCTGAACAACGAATGTATGTTGGATTAGTGAAAACTAAAATATTAAAGTATTAAATATAACTTGCTGGAAAAATGAATTTATTTACATGGCATATTTTACTGGAAAATGGAATATGTCCTACTCATGTAGTCCAAATAAAGATATGATAAACCATAGCTGATTTTTAGTGATTTTTATGGATCAGATTTTGGCTTTTGTATTTTAGTCATGTAGCCAGAACATTGTAACATATATCGAAGTACCCCCAAGATAATAAAATTCTTTGAAAAAGGAAATCTATTTCATTTTACTTTTCATTTTAGGGAATAAGAAGAGTGTCATCTTGAAATGAAGTTATATAGTTAAAATTGATATAGGAAAAATTTAATATTTGGGTAAATACTTTGATATTTTTATTGTTTTCTTTTTAAAATTTCTTTTAACATTTTTATTTTGACTGGTACGTGTTTATAGTACATTATGTATTCCCTTAACTAATCTTAAATTGTCATTTCAGATTCCTATTAGTCTGTCAAATGTAGGCTTTGTACCTCTTTATGGTGGAGATCAGACCCAGAAAATTCTTGCTCTTTTTGCTCCTGAGGATTCACTCACAGGTCTCTTTTTTTGCTTCATTTTTGCAAATTTAGGAGCTTTTTTCCAAACTATTAGAAACTTATTAAGAGGGTGGCTTACAGGAAGAAATGTATTTTAAATTACAAGTTTAGAAAAATGTGATGTTTATTTATTTATTTGTACGGAGAATTGAACTCGGGTTCTTGTGCTTGCCAGGCAGGCCCTGTGCCACTGAGCTCTGTCCTTGGCTCTGTTTGTTTGTTTTGAGACAGGTCTCTTTATGTAGTTTGTAGTTCAGGTGGGTCTTGCACTCACTATTTCAGACTGGCTTCAAATTCACGGGAATCTTCCTGCCTTGGCCTCCCAAGTGCTGGGATTACAGGCGTGTGCCATGATGCCTGTAATTTTCTATTGATAACATTAAGTGGATGAAGCAATAAGAACAGTATAAATGGGGTTACATTATAGTATAAGATATGGGTAATTTAAGAGAAGCAATTTAAATTTACCAAATAGTAATACTGTATACATTAATCTTAAGACATGTGTTAATGATCATTTGTTCTGTTTTAGCTGTGGCTCTTTACCTTGCTGATCAGTGGTGGGCTGTTGATGATATTGTGAAAACATCTGTTCCAACTAGAGAAGGACTTAAGCAGGTAACATGCCTTACAGTTCAAGGTTTGAACTCTTCCCAATTTTAATATGATTGTATTGTATTAAACTCCTGGAGCTTTAGTCTTATGATGAAAACAGAGCTCAGTTGGGTTTCCTCTACTTCAGGTAACTGAAGGTATCTGAGGAATTGGGTGAAGAAGACTGAACACCTTTGGGTTGGTTGAGCTGTTCCCTTTATCCATTTGAGCTTCTGATTTTCTTACTTGGTGGAGGAAAGGCTAATCCACTGGGTGTGGCTGCTAAGTTTCCATGTCACTGGAGAAGGTGGGTCAAGAGCCTTGTTTGTTAGTCAGGCCTCTGGTGGATGAGGTATAGTGTTTGAAACAGAACAGTGACCAGGTTCAGAAAAGCAGAAGCCAGCTGACTCATATGTTGCAAGAGGGACACTGATTTGTGTTTAAGAGCTATTAGAACTCAAAAGGTATATTTATGTTAGAGAGTAGACAGGACAGGAGGAGAAAAACAGAAACCAAAATGATAAATATTAGAATAGTTTGGGCAAAGTAGGAAAGTGTTGATGTCTTTGGTGACAGAGAGACTGACTTACAGTGAAAGTGGAAGATTAAGACACTGGGCTTGGTCAAGATAAATTAGGCTTTTCTGTGTTTTTGGTTTTTTTTTTTTTAAATTAGGCTTTTCTTATGGAAAATACTAAGCTCTATTATTGCTTAATAGGTGCAGAGATCTTAATCTTGTGAGGAAAAGTCCTTGTTGAGGGGAATAGAGTTGGAGTATGGGTCAGTCAGAAGAAACAAGGAAAGCATTTCTAAGAGCTTTGAAATGCAGATTATGAAAGTGAGGATCTTTTTTGGGTTACTGGAATATTCTTTCTTCTTTTGAGTTTAGAACTTCAAAAAAGATAAGACTTAAAGGGAAGAAATGATGGATAGCAATATACTTAGTATTGTTCCTTGTAGATATTGCATTCATTATTGAATTTACCTTGAGGTTCCAAAGCAGTGTACACCTAGATACCTACCAGTCTGATGAAGAACTTCAAACACAAAATTAAGGGGAGGAATTAAAATCCTGCATACTGAACTACATAGCAAGACTTTGTCTCAAAAAGAAAAAAAAAGAATCTTGCATAAAACTGTCAAATGGGAGGAGTGGATTAACAATAGAAGACGATAGGGGCTTTGGAGATAGCTCAGTGGAGTTCGCGCTTCCCTGACAAGCACAAGGGCCTGAGTTCAATCCCCGGTTCCGCCAACAAAAAACAAAACAATAGAAGACGATAATTTGCCCTCAGGAACAACTGATAGCTGGTGAAAGAGTGCGTGTCCAGAAGATAAACATCCTGAGATACTTAAATGTGACTGAAGTTTGGACATCTGACCAGAAAATTAAAGAACAGAGAAGGAGAAATCTTATGATGTCTGTGGAGTCTGTCCTCACCCTAAGAAACTATGAAATCCCCAGATATGGATTGCTGAGATTGGAGGAATCAGGGTTAAATGAGATTGTTTGGATTCTGCAATAGGTCTTCAGCCTACTTTTTTTTTTTTTTTTTTTTGGCGGAACCCTGGATTGAACTCAGACCTTCGTGCTTGCCAGGGAAGCGCTTATTCTACTGAGCCATCTCCCCGGCCCCCTTCTTCAGCCTACTTTATGACAACACCCCTACTTGCAAAGTAGGGACATCAGTGAGGGGAGACTGTTACTCTAGTAAAATCCTTGCCAACAAGCAAAAATTGATTGGTAAAGTCACAAGAATAACTGTTCTTTCACTTAATAAACAAATGACCTTAGCTCCAACTTTGTTATTATAAACCTTATTTTACACTGTCTCACAGTTGTGATAAGTTAAATGAGATAACAAAGGTAATCTTGTGCCTGAAACCTAGTGCTCAGTTATCCCGTCACATACTGTAAAACTTGGTCCCCTTTTCTGTACTGCGTACCCCCGTCACCATTTATTTTTTATTTTTATTTATTTATTTATTTATTTTATTTATTTTTCAACAAATAATACACTGCATATATTCTTCTTAGTGGTTAATTGCTGTACAAGATGCGGACTTGTGATCCTATTTACAAACACCATTAGAACAATTCATTCTATTCATTAAGAGAATGCAACTATATATCTATCCCAACCACTTTGAATACACAGATACAAAATGGACATTCATCTGTATACCCCATTTTTTCTAAGTTCCGTTATTGAATATTATAGGTGTGTAAACTCAGCAAAATATTCTAAAAGAGTCCAGTAGCCCATAATAGCATTGGGTCTTCTGTTTAACTGGCAATGTCAGAAATTATTGACCTGAGTCCCCCACAGCTCAACTTAACAGCATGGCTTTATTTCTTATAATTTCGTCTTCATACTTTTCTGCTGGATGGTTAAGACCAAGGTAAAGCAGGACCTATGCAACAGGAGTTGTAGCTTTTTGGTCTGAGAAGGTCAGTGAAATGCCCTCAGGATTTGTCCTGAGATCCTGTACCTCAGATTGTAGAACCCCGTCACCATTTAGAGGGAGCTGTAAACAGCCGGTTTGTCAATTTTGCATGTCACAGCACTGAATGGAGGAACTAATCTATAGACGGTAGAACGAAGAAACACAGAAGGATCTAACATAATGACATTAAGTAAAGATAAATTTGTCCTAATAACTAGGTTCCAAGATAGCTGTGCATGTCTGCCATCAATACCAAACTGAAACAGCAGCACAGATGAAAAAAAAAAACTTGGAATTGAGTGATTGGCTCTATTTAAATAGGAATAAAATGAAACTAATGAACACACTAATTTTCTCCAGAGACATCTCATTACCTTAGCAGTATCTTCGGTGTTTACGATGTCCACGTGCCAAACAAGAAGAGAGCTGTTAGGGTTCTGGTTGTTTCACTGTCCAGCTTTGGTATGAAATTTAGAAGGAAATCATTGCTATCTTCAAATATTGGTAGACTGTGGCTATTGAGTATCAAAGCATAGTCGTTTGGAAATAAGTTTCAGCATAGACTGAGGAAGAATTTCATATTGGTAGTCTGGTAAGTGCAGGGTCCAGGGTTCCATCCCTGGTACCCCTCCCCCCAAAAAAATTTTCATGTTGGTCAGAGCTATTCAAGGAAGGGATGATGGGTTACCCTGTCCATTGGTGTGAATCAGCTCTGTCATTGCCCATATTGTCTGGTGTGGCAGAACCCCTTCTAGTGGCACTTTTGAGAGGAGTGTGTGCATATGGTTAATCCTTTCTTCCCTTCAACTAATCAGAAGGTGACTTGTTTTCCCTTCGGGGGACTTGAAAGAAAAAAGGTTTTATATAGAGAGCTCTTGTTTTTAGCATGAACGATGTCTGTGGGAAAAACTGATGTCAGAAGGTTGTGGGTATTGGTGGGGCCTATAACCTTGTGGCTCTGTGTGTAAAGGTGAGGCTCTGTTTCTACTATGTAACTACCTCAAGTCATATGTTTCACTGGACTTAGCAGTATCTGGTTTAGCAGAGGAGTGTTTGAATGGGTGGGGTGGGATATTCCTATAGTTACAGCAAAGACGGGCCTGTTAAATGAACATTTCACTTAAAAGAAGTGAGACAGATGCCCTTCCCAAGGGTATAATTATAGCTTCCTTCAGCAAATGAGGTTATTTTTCTTAGTCTCCAGAGTATAATGCTAGCTTTTTTTTTCTTTTAAATATGGAGACTGGAAAAGGGTGTCAAGTTTTGAAAGAGGGTGTGGTTAGAGCTGGGTGAGACCTTGGCTCTAGGTGGCAGTCTGAAGAGGACATGGAGCATAAAGGAGGTGCTGGGCGAGTGAGGGTTGCACTGGGAACCTGTTTCTGCTTATATCACTTTCCTGAGAGGCAGAATATACCAATTATAAAATATGTCTGTGGTGTGAAAGATTGGTTTCATCTTTATGATAACGAAATGTTTTATAAATGGGTTTGAATGCAGTCAGAGTACTCTGGATGTCCTGTGAGGCATGGGGCAAAAGCAGGGTGAGGAGCCTTCCCTGATGGCTGCATATGGTAACTGCTGTGCCTGCTGTTTGCCTCTTTTTGTAGGTGAGCACTCTTGGGGAAAGAGTGGTTCTGTATGTTCTGAACCGCATTATTTATAGGAAACAGGAAATGGAGAGAAATGAGATCCCATTCCTGTGTCATAGCAGTACTGATTATGCTAAGATTCTGTGGAAGAAAGGAGAGGCCATTGGGTTTTATTCAGTTAAGCCTACAGGTGAGTCTTTTCAAGTTATTTAAATTGTATGTTATAGAAATCTCCATTTTAGAACCCTCCCCCCCCCAAATCATTCTGTGTTAAACTGTAGAATGCACATTGAGGTGATTCTACTTAGTATTTTTTGGGCTTGCTTTTATTGTCTTATGGAAATAAAAATTTTGTTAGGAAAGTCTTTTGGGAAGAAACCAGAAATAAACAGTTGCTACAGAAGATGTTTTCCCCACACATACAGAGAGTATTAGAATTAAACTGCAAGTTTGTCTGTCTTTCTTTCCCTTGTACTTTTTTTCATTCAAAGGTGGTTTACTTTGATTTCTGGTGCTATTACATTACTGGTTACTTCTTCTTTTTTTTTTTTTTTAACATTTATTTAGTGTGTGTGTGTGTGTGTGTGTGTGTGTGTGTGTCCAGCTCAGCCCACCAGGGGGCGGGGCTGGCTGGCATGTGGTGCTGGGGGATCGAACCGCGGTCCCTGTGCTTTGCCACGCTTGTTCCAAGTACATGCTTTAGACCACTGAGCCATCTCACCAGCCCTACTGGTTACTTCTAAAACCATGTGGTCTAAATATATCGCTCAGAATGGTTGCTTCAATCTGACGTGTTAATGAACATCCTGACTGATTACAAAGAAAAGCATACCGATTTAATGTATTTAGAAGATGCAAACTCTTTAAAAGTTGATCTCATTTGAGTTTCTAATTCGAAGAGCAAACTCTGTCCTATCCATGAGGGGCCAAGGCTGCTAGACTTGTCGTTCTTTCAGCTTCTGAGAGCTGCTGCAGAGGAAGATATAGCCTACTCTGTATGTGTGCATGTACACCCCATACCTTGTGTCACCAAATCACAGTCTGCCTTCTGTACCTTGACAAAAAAACATGCTTTGGTTTTTTTCTTTTTTCCATTACCAGTCTTCATTTAGCTTTTTTGGATCAGAGCCAGCTTAAAAATCATATTCCAGATTTGAAGAAAGGTTGGGAATAGTACCTTAACCATCTAATTAAATCACATTTGTGATGAATCTTTGTGCTTACAGGCAATAAAAGGAAGATCATTTTTTCCCAAGAGTAAAAAACTTGTGTTGTATAATTTGAAATGTTGTTTGTTTTATAGTAAATATGTTGTCTCCTTTAATATGCTGAATTCTTACGTAGATTTGAAGTAGAACCCAATGACATATGTAAATTCAGAAAATTATTTATTATACACAAGTAAAATGGAACGGTTAATGACAGTCTCGTGCTCTCTTGCACCAAAGGCATCACTTCATCATTTGTTTCATAGCTGGGGTTGAGGCATGCGTAATTGCTGCATGCTCTGTTTTATACAAGGTAACTCATGAAAATTGAGGCTTTTACTTATGCTGGTTTTAGGGGGGTTTCTTTCCCAAAACTAGCCTTTATGTTTGAAACACGTTAGTTGACACACTTTGGCGGCTTGCATTCTATTCAGTACACGCAGCTCAGCCTCTTGTTCCCTGTATTTCTTTTTTTTTTATTTGCGGAACTGGAGATTGAACTCAGGCCCTTGCGCTTGCCAGGGAAGTGCTTATTCTACTGAGCCATCTCCCCAGCCCCCTCTTGTTAGTATTTCTGATTGGCGTTTGGTTTGTCTGCTGCGTGGGCATCTCCAGGTCTTCTTTCTCCTGAAACTGGTCTTTAGTCTTACCAGTTCTGGTACTTCATTTTGTACCGTACAGGTCTTGGGTGCTGTGGTGGCTGCCTCTTTTAGCCTCCTCATGCTTTCTCCTGTTGCCTTACATCCTCATCTACTTCAATTTTAATATTTATTTATTTATTTATTTATTTATTTATTTATTTTAAGAACCGGGGATTGAACTCAGACCCTTGCGCTTGCCAGGGAAGCACTTATTCTACTGAGCCTTCTCCACGGCCCTTCATTTACTTCAGTTCTTTCCCTGTTAACGCTGTTTCTCTCTACCAGGTCACAGTGAAATTAAATATATTCACACTGGCCTTTCAATTAGTAGGCCCTTAGCTCAGGGCAGTGCTCTTTCTGGAGAGGAAATTCTTTTTTTTTTTTTTTTTTTAATTGAGAAATAAATGTGAAAGAGATAGTTTTACAGCTGATTAATAGGACAGTTTTGATAATCAATACACTGTACATTGTTATCTTCTTAGTGGTTATCCATAGTACAAGAAGGAGAAAGAATATTCTGTCCAGACACTGTTAGTACACCTCATTGAATTAAGCAAAAGTAGCTGTAAATTTATCCTACTTTGTATATATAAATACCAAATGATCTTTCCTTTGTATCCTTTTTTTTTTTTTTTTTTTGTCAGAGGTGAATATTCTATTGGCTCTAAATACTATAGGTGTTTGAATTCAACTAAACAATCTAACACTGTCTAGCAGTCTATAGTATTAGTGGGTTATCCTCAGAAGTTACTGACTTGAGCCTTTTACAGCTCATCATATTAATATGAATTTACTTTATATACCTC